CTATCTATCTATCTATCTATCTATCTATCTATCTATCTATCTATCTATCTATCTATCTATCTATCTATCTATCTATCATCTATCTATCTATAGGTTCTTCTTGATTACAACCATGTTGTTTGTATCTTTAAAATTTATATTGTTTTATTTGTTTACTAATGATTTGCTAGCTTATTAGTAACTTATGACTATTACTAAGTGTTGTATCTTATGATTCTTGAATAAAATATTCAATTTTATTTTTCTTCATGTATACTGAGAGCATATGCACCAAAGGCAAATTCCTTTAATTCTATTCTGTTCTATCTATCCTATCCTATTCTTATTCCTATTCCATTCTATTCTTTCAGACGAGTGACTGTCCAATCTCTCCTAAAAACCTCCAGTGATGGAGTGCTTACGATTTCTGAAGGCAAGCTGTTCCACTGGTTAATTGTCCTCGCTGTTAGGAAGTTTCTCCTTAATTCCAGGTTGCTTCTCTCTCCGATTAATTTACAACCATTGTTGTACTGCCCTCTGGTGCTTTGGAGAATAATTTGATTCCCCTCTTCTTTGTGCAGCCCTTCAAATACTGAAATACTGCTATCATGTCACCCCTAATTCTTCTTTCCTTTAGACCAGGGGTAGTCAACCTTTTTATACCTACCACCCACTTTTGTATCTCTGCTAGTAGTAAAATTTTCTAACCGCCCACCGGTTCCATAGTAATGGCGATTTATAAAGTAGGGAAGTAACTTTATAAAATTAATAAAGCAGAGTTACAGCAAACCCCTACCGCCCACCATGAAAGCTGGAACGCCCACTAGTGGGCGGTAGGGACCAGGTTGACTACCATTGCTTTAGACTATCCAGACCCCAAATCTTCTTAAGGTGGTCCCCCACACACATGTGAACATGAAGTATAATGTTTGAGTGTCATCATCATCTCTCTTTGTTATTCCAATTCATTTAAGAATCCAGAAAAAAAGAAAAGAAAAAAAAGCTAGGGCCAGGCTAAAAGAACTGCGACAAATGCCGAAAATTGCTGAATAGTAATAGCAATAGCACTTAGACTTGTATACTGCTTCATAGTGCTTTTACAGCCTTCAAAGTGGTTTAGAATCAGCATATTGCCCCCAACAATCTGGGTCCTTATTTTACCAACCTCAGAAGGATGGAAGCCTGAGTCACCCTTGAACTGCTGAACTGCAGCTAGCAGTCAGCGGAAGTAGCCTGCAGTACTGCACTCTAACCATTGAGCCACCTCGGCTCTATCAAGGGTAGTCCCAAAGCTAGACTAACCTTCTACGGTTAGCTCGGCAATGATTGGAAATGCGCTGGCTTTAACGAAGCTTAGATGGGATGGAAGAGACTGGAGCGGGATGAATGTCGAAGCTATGTGGCCTGGGGTCTATTGGACTACAACTTGATTTAGACTTTTCCACAACTGCGCCTAGGCATCCCTGTCTGCTGGTCTTTCAGAAAGTCAGAAAAACTCACAAAGACCAAACTATTTCAGATAACTTTCCCTGATGGGACAGCTGCTGCCAACTCTACTTTTATAGATCTTATCTGGGCTTAAATGGCATGGTTTTTGTTTTAATATTGTTGCAGTTGTGTTAATCTTATCATGGATGTTTCAACTCGTGTTGGTGCTACATAAACCAGGAAAAGTCTGTATTGAAGGGTTAGGGTTAGAAATAGGCAAAGGCATAGAAATATGTTTAATTAGTACATTATGATCATCATTTCCACCCATAACAAATAATAAGGGAAGAGGGAAGAATTGGAAAACAGCTGGGTACATTGAACTGGCTAATTAAATTACTCAGGGACCTCAAGAGGTCAAAGTCACATGGAGTTATCTTTAAATGTCTCCCAAGTACAAGGAGACAGCTGTTACAGCTGTCCTTTAAAAATACCCTTTTCTAAATCAAACAAACAGTGACACAATTGGAGGAATAAATTTAAAGGGAATATGTCCTATCTGTCAGAAGACATTAATACTGAAGGGAAGGAAAACTTCATGTGCTCTTACTTTTTTAATCCTCGTTGGAGATGTATTTATTTGAGTTTTATAGCCGCCCATCTCAGCAAATGAATCTGGGCAGTTCACAATTCAAAATCATATATTACAATTAAAATCTTAAAAACATCTTAAAACAATAAAAAAGTAAAAAACATGAAAACAATAAAGAACGTTGAAATGTCTAATTCAAGTACATACAAATAAGATATTTGGCCTGTTAACATTATAGCCAGGACACTGTATTCCCCTAGACTCGGGAACATAGCCAGTCCTTTAAAGCTTTACAGAAGGCTAACAGGGTTGGGACTATTATAATTTCCGAAAGAAGGATGTTCTACAGCAGGGGCTGCTGTAGAAAATGTTTGTCTTCTAGTCCCCCCGCCCTCAGCTGACATTCTGTGCCTGACAGGATCTGCAGCATGCTCATCCTGTTTGATCTAGCTGGAGGGTAGAAACTATGGAAAAAAGGAAAACCCTGATCCCAAGCTATGTAGGGCTTTGTAGGTGACAACCAGCACCTTCAATTGCACCCAGAAACGCAGTGCAACACCAGTGCAACTCATGCAGGAGTGGTGTTACAATGTGCCGTATATCTAGCACCAGTTAATAACAATAGCGCTCAAACTTATATATCGCTTTGCAGTGCTTTACAGTCCTCTCTAAGCCATTTACAGAGTCAGCATATTGCCCCCAACAATCTGGGTCCTCATTTTACCCACCTTGGCAGGATGGAAGGCTGAGTCAACCTTGAGCCGGTGAGAATTGTCCAACTTGTGGCAGCCAGCAGAAGTAGCCTGTAGTACTGCATTCTAACCACTGTGCCACCACGTATCTTACCATCACACTATTTGCGCAGCGCGAATCTGAAGTTGAAGTTTCCTAATGATTTTCAAGGGCAGATCTTGCTATTCTCCACCCTCTCAATGATAGTTTATTTTTCAGTTGTCTATTCTGTGTGCCTGATAAAATATACTGGTGCTCCCAAAATGACTCGCCTGCAGGGTTCCAAAGAGGTTAGCTTACCTTTTATTAAGGACATGTTCTCTCACATTGGAGCTTCCACTTGGGACATTCTTCTGGTTAGGAAGGTTGAAGCTGGATCAGGCCAATCTGTTAGGGAACTAGTGCTTTCCAACTGAATGGAACAAACCTTCCTTTCTGCAAACATCCAGATTTGCATGAAAAAGAATATAAAGTGCTGCTGGGCTTAATGCTGTTCAAGACCCCTCAGCGTTGACTGTTTATGTGTCAAATTAATGTTGAGTCAGTCCCCACATAAAGGAGAGATTCAACATAGAAATAAGGAGAAATTTTCTGACATAACAATCAACTAGTGGAATAGCTTGTCTTTGGACACTGTGGGAGCTTCATCACAGGAAGTTTTCAGAAAGAGACTGGACTACTGCCTGTCAGAAATAGTATAGGGCAGGAGTGTCAAACTTGAATTCCCCGGCATTGTCACGTGACAGTGTGACCTTCCCCCCCCCCCNACATGCATAACACCGCTTTTACATATCTCCATCTAAACATGCTTTTTCTCAATCAGGGAGAAATTTTGAATAAAGTCGATAGGAGAAGAGAAAGGAGTAAAGAAATAGAAACAAAACAGTTTAAACAATTAACCTGCCCCAAGTTCCCTCAAAATGTCTTGGGCCACAATTTTCATGATTGCCCAACTTGTTGGTTGGAAATTTTGAAAGACCAATACGTGAAGGGCACCAATTTGGCAGAATGCTGTTCTACACAACTATATCTTCTTTCCTTCTACCAATGCTCAGTAACATTTCAGGGCTCACACTGCATCACTTTGTTTCAACCACATATATCCAAGTTATAATCCATATCTTTTCAACATGAGCTGGTTTAGTCCAACACCACAAGATATTATGGCTTATTAACAAAGCTGTATGCTGCTGTCTGCTATTTAGATCACCCTCACTGATATGCTCTGACCAGGTACAGCAAATAAATCATGGATGGTATTGTCAATTATTTTTATTTCTTTATGATATTAGGAAAAACAGTTTTTCTCACCAGTTCTGGTTTTTCTTTGCAACTGAGGCTTGAGTGAAACAGCGTGTATCAGTGCACTGCTGATTTGCCTAGTGTCAAGTGCAAGGAACCAGAATGAAACCATGGGCTGATCTGAGATGTTTCTTTATTGCAACTTGCTTATTTACAAGAATCTCACTAGACTAATTGCACTCTCTTGAGAACAACCAGGTAATCACATCAAGGATATTTTTGGGGGGTGGGTGGGTGGGAGGGGGGATTCAAGTTTCCATTGCTTTCTCTTCTGCAAAGATTCAAGCTAGCCTGTCTTTTAACTCCATCTCCCACCTCAGCTGCAAATTCAGCCATAGTTATTATAGCAGAACATCCTTAGATCTGAAGAACAATTCAAAACATTTTACCTGAATCTTTCTGGCAGTATGTATCTTTGCCGTTTGTTCTTCAAGTTTGATGCTATATAGTTTAGCATGAAGAAGCTCCATAGCTTTTTCTTTATTTTTAATTTGAGATCTTGCTTGTTGACATTCAGATACTATGCCTACAACAGAGGAAATGTAGAAGTAAATGTATCAAAAAAATAAATAAATCAGAAGTATGTAAAGCACAAACATGTATTTTGTATGTTAAGAAGACTACTTTGCATTTTTAGTTAAATTACACAATTGCTCTATTTTTAAACTTAAAAGTAAGATGCCAGGATTTGGAAACAAATATGCTATTGAAGCTGTAGCAGCATCAGAACAGATCTTGATTAGAATGACAAATTTTGTTATATATTTTTATATATGTGCTATATATTCTATCAGAAGCCAATGATATTTTCTATGGCTTTTTTTGTAAAACATTTGTATGCAGTGAAATGTATAATCTACTGTACATTGTTAGTTCTAAGAAAATGAATGTAGTATAGGTACAAGTAAAAAAATAAAAAGTGTAAGAGATTGTTGAGGGAAAGCCGCAAATAAAATCCTGTCTGCACACACACACACAGAATATACACACACCTTTCTGCATAAAGATGTATTGGGCTGCATTGTTGTACAATATTTTATAATATATGTATAGTATGTATGTGAATTAGCATTTTCTAATTTATACATTACACCATCCTTTCCAAAGCAAGAATATTTTTCTTTTCTTTTTCTCCAATGTGTTCCCCAATCTTAACTGGAGCACTGAAAAAACAGACTCTGGGTCATGTCCTTCCACATCTTCAGAATGAGAGTTCAATAGAACTTATCTTGGCTGGTTAACTTCCTTATGCTACAGTGCTGAAATGTTCTATATCCAATAACAAACTCAGTCCAAATTGTAGACAACACTGATAGCTATGATTTTCTATAAAGCATGTATCTTGTTGCTGAGCATCATCATATAAAAGATGACAGCATATTTTTTAAAAATTCACTCATTTGAAAGTCATGTACCAATAATACCTGAGGGAATATGCACTATCCGTACGGCACTATCAGTAGTATTCACATGCTGGCCACCAGCTCCACTGGCTCTTTTAGTTTCAATACATAGGTCTTTAGGATTAATTGTCAGAGTTATCTGGAACAGGGAAGAAACATATTGCTTATTCTCTAACAACAGACTATTTGAACTCCAAATTCAACAAACTTATTTACTCTAAGATTTGGTGAATTTATTAATGCTGCTAATTAGTCATCAATAGGTAGGGGGGGAAAGTGTAACAGAATAGAATCCTCTTGTCTGAATGCAGAAGGTATTATAGTAACCACATACCTCACTTGGCTGTGGTAGAATTGCTACAGTCATTGTGCTGGTATGAATGCGGCCTTGCTTCTCCGTCTTTGGTACGCGCTGAACACGATGTACTCCTCCTTCAAACTTCAATTGTCCATATGCTTCAAGGCCTTTTATACTGGCAGATGCATGTCTTAAGCCACCTTAATTTAGTAAAAACAGTAAAAGCAATCACAAAATGTAAGTCTTCAGCAAAAAAAGTTATTTAAAAGTTCAGAAACACAAAAAAAGTGTGACTGTCTGTCTGCCTACCTATCATGTGTGTTCATGAGTGTCTGTTGCTGAGCTATGTTCCACCTAGTTGAAGTTTATTGGAGGTCTACATCTTACAGTGGTGGGCAAGGCCTGCAGATGTAGGCATTCATGAAGAATAGCTGTCTTTCATGTAGGTTTATGTGTCCCATTTGCATGTGTCCCATTTGCCTGATTTCTGACATATACAAATGCCCTTACATGGTTCTAGTATTTTGCTTATTTCTCTTATTGTGTTTTTATTTATTGTGCTGTGTTTGTGTTCTTATATTGTGAACTACCTGGAGAAAGGCAACATCAAAATAAAATAAAGGCAACGTCAAAGTAAAATAAAAATATATGCCACTACATGAGGTACCTCTAGCATTCTTAACACGCTTAAGGTCTCTAAAACATGAAATAATATGATTCTCAACAAGTATCCTTGAAAAGATACCGAAGATGAGAACCTTCACTCTCTGTTACATACTATAGAGTTTGGGAAATTCTTTTGTTATCTCAAGACAACTTGCTGATAGTACTGGAAATACATGGCAGAATTTCAAAAGGTTACTTGCCTATAACACTAGAAGTGTATGTCAGAGTATCAAAAGTCCAATTTTTATATGCTGCATACTGTTGATACATATCAAACATCTCAGCAGTGAACAACATTGCTTCCAGCCCTCCAACTCCAGCAGTCACTTCTATGACAAGATCATTTTTGTCAGTTTCCTCTGAAGGAATCAAAAGTGATACTATCTGAAATACATAAAAAACCCTTTTTTATTTAAGTAAAATTTCCCTCAGCAAGGAATGCTCCCTGGAATGGGCTGAAATAAAAAAAATGTACCAGTACATATATTTTAAATATTATGTAATGTATTACACTTGTGCAATATTTCCCTTTAAATCCAAAGGATACACTTACTGTACAGTTGGTTAGTGTTAGTTGATGAATTGGTTTAGATGAGTTAAGTATACATAAGATTCAACATCAAATCGCTTCCAACTCACTGAAACTGTACCCTGGTAATGAAACATCTTCAAGAAACCAACTAAGCTCAGAAAGCATCAATAACTGAACAGTTCACTCCTAGACCATACATACTCTCTTCTATTCATAATAAAAATTCTTCCACAGATTAATGGGATTCCTCCTTGAAATTAAATACTTAAAAGAACTGAAATTCAGCAGTATGTGGAAAAAAATAAACATGAAATGAAGTGGGGCAGCAGACTGCCAAATAATAGCATTTGACAGTCCCTTATCAAAATAGAAGTTAGTCTTGAATTTAAATATCATGCTTCAATAAGTGATTTACCTGATGTCTCAATTCTTCTATCTCTTCCTCACAGGAAATAACTTCCTTTTCTGCAAGCTTCCGCAAATCTTCGTTTTCATCTAGAATAGGTTAGCACACTATTGTCATAATACTATTAATATTTTTTTTCTCTGGCTCACAATCCCTTTCCTCTCTTGGCTATTTGGTATTTTTAACTTTTTGTCCCATCCAGATATCAACAAGTATGGAAGATATACAGTTAGTTCTTCACTTACAACTGTTCATTTAGTGACAATTCAAAATTACCATGGCATTAAAAAGATGAACGTTTTTCATTTTTTGAACTGTTGCAACATCCCCATGATCATGTGATCAAAATTTGGAGCCTGGGAAACTGCATGTATTTATGACAGTTGAAGGACCAAAGTCACGTGATAATCTTTTGCGGACTTCTGACAAACAAAGTCAACGGGGAAGTCAGATTCAAAACCACATTATTAACTTAACAACTGCAGTGATTTGCTTAACAAAACTGGCAAAAAAGGTAATAAAGTGGGGCAAAACTCTCTTGCTTAACAATGCAAATTTTGGACTCAATTGTGTCACAAGGATTACCTGTAATAAACCAGCATTTAATTCAGAAACCAGGCCACAGCATTCTATCTTAGATTACCATCTTTTAAAAATGTTTTTAAAATGTAGAGTAAACCAGACCAAACGTTTAGGTTTATTCACTGCTGGTGAATCTGGTTAGTGTTACACTAACCTTTGGAATTACACTTATTGCACATTGGAATTACACTTACTGTAATTCCTGCTTTGGAATTACACTTATTGCACATTTTCTCTAAACTGCTGATAAAGCAATATAACAATTCAATATTTTTAAACATTTGAAACTAGGGCACTAAATATCTCAGAGCAGGGACTCTAGAAATCACTACATAATAACATACAAGCCTTGACTTTCATAAGGAGACACATCTTTTTAAACTGAATGGTTGAACAGAATTTAATGGTTAGCACATTATGACTAGATAAAGGAAAATGATCATCAAGCCCCTGCAGTGAAAGGTGAAATAGGAAGATCAGGGAATAGAATAACAGAATAACAGAGTTGGAAGGGACCTTGTAGATCATCTAGTCCAACCCCTTGCTCAAGTTACACCACTTCTGACAGATAGCAGTCCAGTCTCTTCTTGTAAGCTTCCAGTGATGAAACTCCCACAACTTCTTTAGACAAGCTGTTCCACTGGTTGATCGTTCTGTCAGAAAAGTTCTCATTTCTAGGTTGAATCTCTCCTTTACATGGGGAACTGAGTCAACCCTAACTTGACAACACATAAAACAGTCAACCCTGAGTGGACTTGAAAAGTATTACGCCCAGCAGCATTTTATATTCTCTTCCATGCAAATCAGGATGTTTGCAGAAAGGAAGGTTTGTTCCATTCAGAAAGACAGAGAAGGTGACATAGAAGGTGGCTCTGTGTCCTTCTATTCAAATTGGAGTCACGCTGAGTCCCATTCAGAGGGCGGAGGGACACTGGGGTTTTTTGTTTTGTTTTACCTATGTTCTAACAACCATGCAAAGGTGGGTTTTGTGCTACAAGAATCTTTCTTTCTTTCTTTCCCTGTCTGCGTTTCCGATTGCAGTCATCCTTTGCTTTGGATTAAAGCACCGTTTTTCATTCCTTGCAAAACTGGGGAAACGGGAGGGCTGCCTCCCTCCCCCCTTTCCTTGCAGCACCCTCGGTTGCAAAATGTTCCCCTGATTTGGTTTATAAGTTCGCAGCAATGCAATCCAACAAATAAGAAAATTGTAATAAGATCTTCTGATTTTATTTGGTCTCTGCTGCCCCCCCCCCCCCGTTAGCCCTTGGGTTTTGTCCCCTCCCAAGGAGAGAGTGGGAAGGAGAGGAAGGAAGGAGGGAGGGGAGAAGGAAAAGAAGAAGGGGGAGAAGATGGAAGGAGAAAGATGGAAGGAAGGAGAA